GATGAAGATGAGGGCACATACTGGTTGCCCTTATTACTTTTCTCAAATCCTAAAATGGGTTTCCAATTCAATCACACTATATCAGCTGATGATCCCACCAATCGGGCCTTAATTAATAGGTTTATTCTGTTCTTTCTTCTTCTCAATAGCTAGCCTTCCTTAAGCTTTACTTCTACATTTTTGAGGGATAGAACTGGAACAGCTTTGGAGAAGCATCTTTCGTCCGGTTTATCGATTTATTTCCCTCAGCTTTTAGTTTTAATTAGTGATCATTTGGATCAATAAAAGTCTCAAAATTTAGTAATAATTTTATTTTAGAGCACAATACACATGTTCAATCCAATCATTTATCCCTTATTTCGATGGTTCCCAATTAGTGAAGCATGCATTGCTGCACGCATATGAGGAGGTCAGTCTAACTGTTCAATTTTTATTGAACCGATAACAATTGGCTTGGTTTGTCCAGTTTAAATTTTCTAACTTCCCCTAGTTTTCATGATTATCTTTTCCTGCGTTTATTAGGTATCGGAAAGCAAGGATCCACAAGAAAGACTGCGAGACGGCGTTGCACGCTTTATTGGAGACTTCTTTTTCACATGCAGCTTAATCGAATTTGCTGATATTCTAGCGGATAATATTTATGGCTCCGTATATATGTATTATTTTACAAAGAGGTATTCCAAATCTTTAGATTTTTTACTTCAACTGCTATATTAATGCGTCAGAAACGTTAGCATGCGCTACTTCTGGCTATCAAAAAAATTAGATTGATTGAACAGTGAGCAGGCTATCAATGGTTAAGTTTATTTGTAGTGAATATAATAATAACAGTTCAAACCTGAAATTGGAATATAATACAGACTAACTGCATAAAATAGTAAAATAGTAGTAATGAAAATTAAAAGGTTGACAGAGTTGGAAGAAAATGTTGATATAAGTAAGTAAAAGAGTGCGATAATCTCCCGTTTTTTGGAGCTTGTATAGTGGATGTGTCTATATATACAAAGAACGACATGTAAGACCTTTACAGTATTCAAAAGGCGGTATATTCAAAGTATTATAAAATTTCTCGGTTTTCCAACATGGGCCTTTATTTGACATCCTTAGTTGTGCAGATTCTGAAAGAATCTGGGAAGATTAAAGTAAGACTTGTAGAAATCTTAGTGTCGGAAACTAAAGCACATTCTTTATCTCTGTTATAATCGCCTTTACCTTTCTACATCGTTAGTCAAGTACCTCATTTCTACTGGTTGCTCGATTTCATTTTATTTTAGTTTCATTATTTATTTTGTTGTTTTCAGATATATTCCTTTCTTCTATTTCAGGTCTTCAGCAAATCCATGGCCAAAATGGATGGGAGTAATGCATGGTTATGAAATTGAATACGTGTTTGGGCAACCTTTCAGGCACAGCCATTTGTATGCACAATCACAGCTTGATTCTGAGAAACGTTTCTCGGAAGCAATCATGAAATACTGGGCTACTTTTGCTGCTGAAGGGTTTGTTTTTTGAGCTTTGAAAGATTTTTGATCAATTACGATACCAATAATTATTGGTACTTTAGCCATAGTTCATGATATTTCCTGTCACACCTCATGACAATTATATGTGCCTAGTTTCAAATCCCCAAATCAAAAATGTGCAGTCATGTTTTTGCAGTGTCCCCAGACCGCAGTGGCCAAAGTACAACAAAGTGACACGCAAAGCATTCGTGCTTAATGATGAAATAACAGGTACTAGCCATCAGATCGATGTTGACGTACATGGCAAATCTTGCAGCTTGCTCTCCGAAGCCCAAGCTGTTATAAGTCATAGTAAGTTCTTATCAAGTTTTGAAACATTCCATTGAATTTTTCTTTTTTTTTGAAATGGTTCATTAATGCAGAATCCGAAAGAGTTTTATCTGGCGCAGGGTGCTAGCAATCACATCATGAATTAAGCAATTTAGGGTAATCCCATGATTGAAATACTTATCTTTTTATTGTCGAGCAAAATTCGACTTACCCACATATATCTTTACAGTCTTTTGATAAAGTCTCTTTCATTTAGACGCCTTCGCATCGGCATGGTTATAAAAAAAACTTACCAATGGCCCAGAAAACATAGAAGGTGAAGTAAGTCTAAGTGCCTCGAAATATTCTCACCAGTGGTTTTCGATATCACTGAAAGTACAATGTATAAAATTTCAGAGTGTAATACAAAAGGAGATGCATATAAGTTGCTTCGTAATGGCGTTTCTCCTCGGACCATCGGCATTTCATTCGTCCAATTTTGTATTTTGATCAAAATAATAAGCCGTTGCCTTGTTTTGTTTTAATAAAAAATTCACTAACTAAAGTTTCGAATTAATTAACTCTGAAAAGTGAAGAATTTCTTAACAAATAAATCAAAGTAACTTTTAAATAATACAGTTTTTCTTTCTCGATTTTTTATTCATATCGACGCAGTAGTTTTTTTTGGAGGAAAATGATGACTAACAGATGCTCCTACTATGACAACTCTTCTAGAATAGAATTTAATTATCCATTACATTTCAAATATCGATTGATTGAAGTACTTTTTTTTTGAATAAAATTTATCATTTTTCTCTAATCCATCTTTATTTGATGTATAAATATGAATGTCACGTTGTTTAAATTGGGAACTTTTTTTCTTAAGAAATTTTCTATGACATTAATCTAAACTGGCATAAAATTTAATTTTTTTCTTTCACATACATGTATTTTGGTCTCCAACGATTTTAATCGCCATAGTACTATTTTCTTCCATTTTATATGCTTATAATTGAGTGGGTATTTAAAGCATTCGTTAAAAAATTACCATAGAAAATGGGAAAGAAGGAGGGAATGGTATGGTACTTACACTCAGTTGGAAACAATAACTAGTATGAGCGATGACGAGAAAAAATTCTTAACTTTCTCAGCTACTGTTCCATTTTAGGTTCGATTATGAAAGGCCTAAATATCATTTACAGCGTAACTACCATAACAACCACAGAAATTAGGTCAAAACACGCAGAACTGCTACTTAATGATAATATTAATCGGCGTTGCCCAAACCTCCTGCTACTGGAATTCACGGGCCGCGGGTCTTCGGTAGATTTGGTGTTGGTGTTTTATAGGAGGTTGCGTGATTCGAGGGGGGGGGGGGTAGTTGAGATATGGGGTTAAACGGTGGGACTTGGTTTTGATGAAGGCCAAAGGAGTACATTTATCTAATTAGTTGTCAGAAAGTCACATTTTATGGTTGTTGTAAATTCAACGTGAACTTTTCTGTGCAATCTCCCTGGCCAAAATATTAACACTGATCCCAGTGATTGTTGAAAGTAACCTTTTTATGTAAGTCGCATATTTTAGTTGGCGATCGCGTTTGATTTTTATTTGTCGGAATCATACGTGACTAGGTATATGGAATAAAATGCGTGGACCAAAAAAATGTTCTATCTGTGGTGTAGCCTGTACAGGCAAGTATTAAGGATATACCTGTGTGTTGAATACATATATACATGAAAAAGTGGACAGTGTGCCATTCAGCTTTTTCAGACTAATTTTAAATCTTCCATCGCCATATTCCAGTGATTTGAAGATTCGGAGGATCAAGATGAGGGTGCATCGAGCATCTACGATGCTTCTTGGCTCGTTGGATGTCAAGGCGAAAACCGCCCAAATTTTTCATCAACTTATGCTTTCCAAAGCGCTGATTGCCCAAGAGCACAAAGGGATATATTCGATACTTCCTATTGGTACCTTCTAAACTTTACCTTGCAATGATGCCTCTTCAAGAGACTTGCTGCGTTGAATGATTCGGAATTCCTAATGAAGTCGAAGATTTCAATTTTTTTTTCAGAGAAAGGGAGTCAGGATAATTATTTTGAATCTTGAATCTTGTTCTTTCTATAGAAATTTTTTTTTAGAAAACAGTCTTATAGGAATTGAAAAGTACATTGGACTTAAATGGTCTTTAACCGTCCATTTTGCTTTTTTTTTTGGTCAGCGCATCATCGATAAATTGGTAGAAGTGATTGAAACTGAACTGAATGCCATTGGTGCTTATAAAATCAGTATGCCGATATTGGGTGCGAAGGAAATGTGGCAAAAAGCTGGTCGTTGGAGTACTTTCGAATCAGAAATGTTTCACTTGAATGATAAAACGAATCAAGTTTTCTGTCTTCAGCCAACTCATGAAGAAATGGTAACGAAATTGGTGGCTGAACAAGGTAATATTATTCATTATTGCGGAATGTCAAATTTCCGAGGCATTTGGTTTTCATATTTCTGTTTTCATACCTTGAGATATTAATTTTCGCCCGTATAATATAGCCCCTGTTAACTTATAAACTTATATACTTTATCACAGCGTAAGAATGACAGTTCAAATTTTGTTTAAAATAGCTAATCATTTTTTGGAAGTACCAACTGTCACGTAATGAATAATCGAAGTCAAATTAAAAGTGTATTGGTGACCAAGGGACATTTTTTATGTATACCTTCATCATCGTATTAATTGAACTACTACGGTACACTTTCCTTATAAATTAGTGTATTGATATAGGAGTTGTCGTGGTGTGTGAAAAGTAGATTTCATTAAGATCGATTTGAGATGAAATCAAGTCTGTAAGATATTCTTTGGTTCAAATTGCTTCACAGCAGTAGATCATCTTATTTGTCTTTTTTATTCTTATGAGAATTTTCTTAGATATATGGAGATTTTTGTTAAAGGTGAATTGAGAAAAGCTATATATCCTTTAATGCTTTATCAAATGGGACCAAAATTTCGTGACGAGACTGTTGTTGGACATGGATTTCTTCGCAGTAGAGAATTTTTAATGAATGACTTATATTCCTTCGACATAACGGAGGAAAATGCCTCGGATACTTACAGTCTTGTCAGTGAAGTAAGCATTTATTACTGTACGATATTTGAGACGGTAAATCGAGTGCTATGGACCTTTTAAGATGAAATGAAAGTGAATTATTATCAAAATTACCGAGAAGCCGTATCATTTTCCTTTTTTAACCAATAATTTTGCAATTTATTGTTTTGATTAGTTCAGTAAATATTAGGAATTAACTTTCACTGGATTTTATTTAAATGCTTTCTTCGTTTAGAATATTCCATGGATCATTTCCTCCCAAATTGCATTGCAGATGAAGGGTATTTTTGCAGGTATATCAACGAATATTTCGTGATCGCCTCGGCATTAATTTTTATACTGTTCGAGCCGATACTGGAAATATTGGTGGTGAAATGTCACACGAATATCATTTACCGTGTAGGACAAGCCACGATAGTATTGCTTATTGTGCAAAATGTAGTTTAGGTTAGCGTATCTTCGGTTTCATTAAAGTTTAAACCAATAGTGTTAGAATTGATCATGAATTCTAGCATTCATCATCCTTTAAGAAATGGTAGACAAGTCACTTGAAAGGGTATGAAGAGGAGATCACTTGAATTCTTCAGAATTTTTTCTGAAAAACTGGCGAAATTTCCTTGGTGAACTTTAGTTTCTCTATCGCCCTGATTGCGAGGATTTATTGCTCTGGAATATATAATTCATAAGCTTTTTAAAAGTGGTGATTAACTTTCTTTTAAAAACTTGGGGAAACAGCTTCTCGAACTTTATTATTTTCGTCGTATGAAAACCACATCGCTGGTGACACTCCGAAAAGTCAATTAAGATTTTCTTTTACTTCAGGTGTGAATCATGATTTGTTGAAAAGTGGTGAAAAGCCTTGCTGTTGTGATGAAGAATATACTTCGATTATTAAAACGATTGAAATAGCTCATACATTTCAGCTGGGGGATTTGTTCACCAAAAAATTTGGGGCCAAACATCGTGGACAACTATTGATAATGAATTGTTTTGGAATTGGCATTGGTAATTTATAATATTGAAATACTTGTTTTTTAATTTGGTGTTCGGTTTGTATAGATCGAGCACAACAGTTGTATGGGGAAATATGATGAAAGAAAAATAACCAGACAAGTTTGCTCGATAAGGACATCCAGTTTTGCTGTGTACTTGTTCGCATTGCTGTATAAAACTTTTGTGAATAATATGATCAATAACGCTGTAGTTTCAGTATTGGACATTTTCAGGCCGTCTGATAGCAGCCTTAATCGATTCAATGTCACCCAGTGCAAGAGCTCTCCGTTTACCATATCCACTGACACCTTTTAAAGTGGCCGTTATTCTGCCAAATAAAACTCAGCCAGAAACGATGGCATTTGCTCAAGATATCATTGGTCTTCTTAGTAAGATACCATCCCTACAGGACGATATTTTCGTTGATGATCGATTGGATAATTCAATTGGAAGGCGACTGCGTGTGGCTGCAAATCTGGGTTAAATATTCTGAAATCCTAAAAAAAAAAAGATTTGAGCTTCGAATAAAATATATGTTTGCATAAAATAAGGGGTTATCAGGACACAGCCTAGGATTCACTAGCATAGGATTCATGCATTCAGTGTACGATTTTACCTTATAACTCTGAGAATATCTTGGTAGATAATGCAGTAGTTTCCTCCAAGTTGAAATCGACTTCTAAATAAATGTTTCATTGATATTGGTTGCATTACTGGGTGCTTATCACTGTATGTTACTTTACTATTAAATTCAGGTGTTCCTCACATACTGGTAGTTGGAAACCGGACTGCCCGGAAGTTGACAAGTCAGCCAACTGTGGAGTATTATAGAACAGAAGCATATATTGATGAACCGATCAGCGTTGGAGACATTGAATATTTTGAAATTCCAAGATTTATTGCAGAGATGTAAAATTGTTTCCATTTTTGTTAAGATTGCTTGTAGTTTGTCGAAAAGTTCCGTTCATTTTTGAAAGCTCGTTTTGAAATGATTGACTTTTTTTACATAAACAGATCTTTTTCGTGTATTTGTTTAGTAGTGGACATTATAATACTGTTTAGCATTCGGCAAGGAATTAAAACAATTGAAGTTAACGGTTATGCACATCCCTTGTTGCATTTAATTTATTGTTTCCGTGGCATAAACTTCTATTTCTTTCCTATTGTTCCGTCAAACTTTTATGCTGTGTCACTAACTGTTCATTTGTTGCAAACTTCGCGCTGTTTTACAATATTTCAGTACTTGTTTCAACTTCATCAACATTTTTTCATCATCGTTGACATGCTTAGCATTAGTGATAATTGCGAAAAAGTATAGGTAACGCCGTGGCATGTATTGAGACCTAAGTAGTATGCCAACACTTGTTTCTGTCGAGGGAACTTCAGATCAAAAATCAGATCAGATCAATGCGAAACATGGAATGACATTCATTTCCTTTTGACTATAAACATTTAACGAGAAGATCGTCATTTGGAGAATACTAAATGATAAATTGAGTGAAAAATGGCCTATGCGATGCATGGGAAATCATTGTTTTTATAAGCGAAACTATAAGTGAATTTGCAAACTTTATTTTTTGTGTTGGCTTGGATGCATTATGGTTTTGAATTACTTTTATTAATTAAGAAGGTGCATTTCTTATCCATAGTCAAGATTCTTTGGAAAAGATTTCATATGAAGAGGCTATCGTCGATGCTTGCTGTTTCGAATAAAGTTCGAGGAATAACCGTCCTTACGGACAATGAGAAGAAGTTGTTCAGGTTGGTCATTGTTTTTATAAAATTACTGAAATGTATATTAGTCAGTAACAGTGTTGGGAATGGTTTATGAGTGATAATTTGAGGTCAATTTTGCTCTTATATATTGCATGATGCATGATGCAGGATTTTTTGTATTCGTAGTAACAGGTAGTAGTGTTCTTCTGTCACTCCTGAAACTTGAATTAGTTTTATCAATTCACATGGATATGTCAAGTTCTGCATCCCATTCGGAAATTATTCTAATTAATAATCATTTTAAGGATTAAGACTTTATATAGTTGTGAAATAGTCAATTGAGTTCTATTCATCAAGGTTCATGCGGATTTTGGTCCAAATGTGCAAATTTCGTTTTTCTATGATAAATTGCGAAAGAAAACCGAAAGATTTAATTTACCAGAAGTGTCAAAAAGTAAATGCTTAAAATAAAAAGAGAGAAATTGCCGAAAGTGAGAAGTAAGTGTGGTGAGTTTTCCCAAGACTTTTGTTATTAAGAAGTATGAATATGAAAGTTTTGTTTCATGCTAATTTCTTCCCTTCACTGTTTGAATAAGTGGTCAGAAAAAAGCTGCAGGAAAGTCGAGTTAGGAGAATTTAAAAAAAAGTTAAGCTCTCTTCATCACACTTTCTTGTCTGTTTCAGCAAAGAAATTACTTTACCGATCATTGTTGTACCGCTGAAGGTTATAAATCGACTAATTGGATGTAAGGAAATAGCAAATAGGACAGTAGAACGATTTTGTAATAAAATTAAGGTAACCTGTTTTAATTATGAATTTTCGACTCTCCTTTTAAATGTGGAAATACTTTCACTTTCGCTGCTTTTGTTTTCGCAATTTTGTTGCAATTTTCTTAATCTTCTCTCTTCGTTTTTCGATCTTTATAAACGTTGGCCTATTTGTAAAGTAACTTTGTTGAAGAATGATTAAGCTTGAGGTATTAAGATACATTTTGTTTACTTTCTAAGATTTTGAATTTTTTTGGTATATGGTATTGGATTAGGACACTTGACATTCGTGACTATGAGGCATAGATCTCGCTTAAATCAGTTAATTCCAATAATGTATTTATTCATTTTGTAACTCTATTTTTCAACAAATATATACTTGTTAGGAATCCAAATTCTTTCCAATTTCAGCCTATCGTAAATATGCCGAAAGAAAACGAAAAAGCTATTGTGTTTAGTCCCGAGAAGCTGGATGGCAGCACAAGAAATGTTCTTTTGAAAACTATAGAAAACTTAACAGGGCTGACGGTTAAGATCGATTCTTATAATGTAGCCTTGAATTATGATGACTGGCCTGTGAAGTCATGTATCACTGCAATTTTACCTAATGGACTCGAGTTCGGGTATGCTAAATGTATATTGGCAGCTTATTTAATTAAATTTTCATTGATTTTTTTGAATAGCATCAAGTATTTCTCATAACCTAGAAAATAATTGTTTTAACCTTCAGTGGTTTTACCCAGATTGGTCATATTGTCCATGTGAATTTACGAGAGGAGTTACTTTTATACAAAAAAGTTATTGGAAAAATACTTCTCGATAAAGTCAGCAACTGTAAGTATGTGTTTTCATTTTATTCAGTACTGAAAGTTCGGGAAACCAGTTTGTAGCCATGGTGGATAAATAATTAGGTCGATACATTCAAACTGTTTGCTTTGTGAATTTAGAATGTGCATGTCTTTGAATTTTGCATATTTATCTTCATATGTTTTCTAACCCTCACTAAAAAAAATTTTTTCGGTATTACAATCTGTTGCTCTTCTAACACTAAATTTTTGCAGAACGGTTGTTAATAAACTAGATGTGATCGGACATAAATATCGTACATTTGAACTTGATTTGCTCGCTGGTGAAGAAAATTATAAAACTGAAGTGCATGAAGAAAAATTACGTTATCAATTGGATTTTAGTCAGGTTATTAATTCAGCCTTAATTTTTTTTTATTTGATGGGAGGTTGGAATTTGTGTGTTACTATTATGTTTCTGAAGGGTGCGCTATTTCGTTTTTGTTTTATCATCTCATACAAGTACTTCATCAAGAAGGATGAGAGCACATCTTTCAAATCAGTTATAGGTGTTTTATAACCCAAGATTGAGCACGGAACATAAGAGAATAGTGCAAAAAATTGGCAAGCGATCAATTTTTTATGATTGCTGTGCTGGTGTTGGACCTTTTGTTTTACCGGTGGTAAGGAATGGAGCTCATCATGTTTTAGCAAATGACCTAAATCCGAGTTGTATCGATTACCTCAGGCGAAACATGGAACTCAATCATGTAAGTTTTACATATTCTCATTATAAATCGTGATTTCTGTGCTAATCGCGTCTTTTTTACCAAGAAATATCTAAACATAATTCATGTCCAGCTGCATTTCTTTTTGACTTTTTTTTGCCAATTTTTTCCCTCTCCAACTTTTTTCAGTTTTCTTTTTTTGTAATACGTGACAGTCCTTTAGCTCTTTGCAAGTATTTCTTTCTATAGAATTATTCAGTGTAAGTTTCAGTTATCATTCAAGAGGCTAAAGTTGTATAATATGGATGCAGCCATATTTATCAACACTGTCCTCGCAGATGATCTGGCAAATGAAGCAGAAAATTACAACGTCTCTGATTCTGAAAGTATTGTGATTTTCTCATTATTTAGTATTAAATTCTGTTTTTTCTTATAAAAGTCAAGCTTTTCCAGTAGGAAATTTTAATTTATTTCCGTTATATCTTTCGAACATTTGCTCTTGTTCTTTTCTATTTTCAGATAAGACTCCGACAGATGCACATGTTGTAATGAACTTGCCAGGCATGTCCTTACAGTTTCTTCCATATTTTCGGGGTGTTCTATATGGTAAACCCAATTTACCAGGTTAGTGAATCATGCACATGATTGTATGAAGGAAATTTTGAATTTCTCATAAGGAAAGATGTTTTACCATATTATGTTTTTACTGTAATTTTGTTGCAGGCACTACCCTTCCATTTCCGTTTTACGTGCACTGTCATTTTTTTGTGAAAGCACCAGATGATCTGGAGAATAACTGGTACTTTGATGAAGCGCAAATTTTGATACGCAAAAGTCTGGGGTGGGTTTCACAAAAAACTTGTTCGGTTCATTCAGATTAATTGAATTTCGTTTACCGAAATGAATGTTTTTATTCATTTATTTGCGGTACTGAGATAATCTGTAAAGGGAAACTTTCCTTCATAATATTATATAATTAAAGTCCAATCTTATTAAGTAATAGAAAATTTGATTCATTGTTTCAGCTGGGTTTTTTTTAGTATTTCGAAGTTGAATTTCATTGAACTACGTTTTATTCGACAAGTTGCCGGGCGTAAGAAAATGTTTTGTGCCACATTTCGACTTCCTGATGAATTTCTGTTCTCTTCTGACCCCCAGAAAATAGAAGTCGTAGAGACTAACAGTAAGGAACTGGCAGAAACAAAAGGATGTAACGGTGATAGCAGTAGCGAACGAACTTGTGCTCAACGGACAATTTGCAAAATACAGAGTGAAGAATTAGAACCTGAGCCGAAGAAAAACAAATTCAGTTGAAGGGATTTCATCAGTAGTGTTTTCGATAGTTGTCGCTGGTGTTTAAAGGAAATCTACTTTTCATCCCCTGCATTACTGCATTCTAAATCTTTTCCTTGTTGCAGTTTTACAAAGTTACTTCTTTAATTGATTAGAGAAATCTTGAAGAATCGAGAAATCTTGAAGTATTCCACTCTTCCATCATTCTAGTGAGAGACTATCGAATGATTCTTTCCTACGGCATTTAAAAAAAAAAAAATTGCATTTAAAAAGATAGCGCAATTCTAATTCTTAACTTCTGCGAGAGTATCATCTTAGATGTAGAAACACAGAATGAATGCTAACTGGAGTTTCAGTACTTCTAATTACAACATGACAAAAGTCGCTAGGTGAAAGGAAAGTGGAAAACTCGAGAATGATAAGATGAATGAATCATGAGATCAAGTCTGATTTAATTACAAGTTTTTCAGCTGATATTGTACTGTTTTGTTTTGATTTGAATTTGAATTGGCCAAGAATTTCTGTTTTGCACTAATTCATCACTTATTGTTATTGTTGTGCTATTTTCCTACAACAATGAAATTTAATAACGTTTATTTTGATGTTAATGATGTTACCAAAATTGTATGCAAATTGAAGAATGCGATTACATGCTGTTGCTGAGCAATAGCGATTAAAAAATAACGATTATTCCAGAAAATTGAAGAAAGGTTACAACTACGAATGAAATATTATAAATGAAATAGCTAACCTGCTTGTTCGTCGGGGTCCTTTTGCCAGTTAAGTATATCCTCAGCTGATGAAATTAAACTCCTGGTCCGAATGAAGTGGAGATATTAATGCTATAAGGAACAGCTGTTTTCCTCGTTTGAAGCATTTCATTTCATTTATTTTACTTTGTACAATCACTGTGACATTCAGTTGAATGGATAGGATTGAAATGTGAAATTGGTGTAAGTAAAATATTAAAATTGATTAACAAATCGTCTCAAAGTAGTCCTAAATTCTTATTTTCTACCATCTTTCAAAGGCTTACCTGGAAATTGTGTAAGCGTATACCTGCAGAGGGTTTTTTATGCAGTTGGATGGCGCCTTTTGATTTGTTTGCTAATTTTACTTCCTTCAGGCCATTGTTCGTGTGGTTATAATGGGATTTATTACATTATCATGCAAATTTTCATCCGTATTTGGAGTAACCATTTCGTTACGGTCGCTAAAGCCTTTCACTATGGAAATTCCATCAGTCAGGAGTCTTCACGTCAAGAAATCTATCGCTGACAAGTTTTCTAACAGGTGGCTTGAACTAATTTCTACCAGTTCCGTCTTATTTGATAGTGGTTAGTTAGCTGAGATCTTCCTTTCAAGCACAAAATGAATTTGATATACAGTATAAGGGATTAAAATATAGTATATCAGTGTTTATCAAAAATAGATTCTCTTTATTGAAATAATTCAAAGTCTACTTAGATTTGAATCTTATCAACTTTCAGATATCTACCTATAAAATAAAATTTTTGTATTAAATCAAATCACCAGAACTTGTTGTAGATTCCGGATTGATCGTGTGATGTATTTTGGTCCTGAGTTAGCTTGCTTAGAATGGTTAATGGAATGTGGCTCGACTGAGGTACTATTAGTTTCTTTTCATTGCATCTTAAAATCCTAATGGTGCAACATTTAATGTGCCAGTAGTGTGATACATATACATTCGCTTAGGTCATATCATATCTTGTTGTTTCTGAACTTTTCAGTTATTTCACTTTGTTTGGAACAAAAAATGGGTCTGGAAAGCTGACGTTAATAAACTCTGTTGAATGTTTTTACGTGCATGTAAAGATGGCTTTCTCTTACAGGTTATAATGAGTGATGGGACATCAATCACATGCAGGGCAGATATGCGCCATTATATCACTGATTTCGGTTTCAATTTTAAAAGCATCGTAAGATTTAGAATGTGATTTGTATCCGCTAAGAATTCCATCTAAATCTAAAATCACATTTTTAAATTTTGCGAATCTTCAGCCGTTTCCTACGATTCCCTTCAAATGGAGTCCAGTGTTGCCAACAATTAGTATGAAAAAGCTTGATGCGATTTATAATATGCGTTGGGCTAAGAAGCCGGCTGTACATATTGTTAAGGTCAACTTACATACTAACTTTTGTTGACATTTCCTTTTTTCATAAATATATAATTTTTGAGCATAAAAGTTCAACGCTTTAATTTCAACTTTCAGGATAATTCATGAAACACAGGCATTAATTTTCAGGTACTAACTTTAATTTTCAGGCGAGACTTTAACATAAGAATGTTAAAGTATAATTTCACGTTCATCCTTTCTCGAAATTTCGTTTAGGTCGATGGAACTGATTCAGCTATTGGTGATGTGGGCTTTCAGTACTTCAAGGAGTGCCGACAAATAGAAGTCTTAAAATTGAATTTTTGTGACTTCTTTACGGACAAAGCAATTGAACATCTTGCTTTGGGACGACCTTCACGAACTCTGCGGAATATTGTTTGTTTTTGATGTTACTTAATTCACAAATTTAATTAGAAGAAACAGCGGAGTCGCAGCACAAAATATGGAACACAAAGTATAAAGTTACTGAGTTAATGTAAATCATTCAGGTCAATAAATAATTTGCATTTCCTTTTCCTTTTTTTCCATTCAATTTTAGCACTTTACTTCAGTCTTCACTTATCACTTCTATCCATTTAATTCGAATAAATAAGAGGTTGTCATGGTATTTTAGGAGATTGTTGCAAATCCTTACATCAGTGATGATTTCATTAAAGGAATTAAACGAATGCGGGGATTACAGCGAGCACATTTTTACTTTCTACCATGCGTAACACAACAAACAGGTGCATTGCAAAGTTTGAAAATCTCTTTACCATGCTGTAGAGTCAGTTTTCCGGAACTGAAAGAAGTCGGTTATGGATATGGTTATACTGTTGAGGACAGCAATGCCAGGTACAATGTTTATTAACTTCCTCTGATTGTTCAATTGTTGCGATGTATTTCATTAGGAAAATTAGCTATCTTTGTTGCATTGTGCAGTAATATTCACTCCTCAAATTCTTCTCACCTTTAAGATGCCGTACTTTTTCGATTCATTTCATAAGCTGGTAGTGAGGTAATCCGGTTATTCAGAGCAATCATTTGGTATTAAAAAACATAAATCACTTTTCTTAGGTCAAATTTATGCGATTTTCAGTGTCCAGAAAACCGAAGCGAAAACGGTGAGAAGATAATACGTCCATTTAAGCTTCTAAATTTCACTATACATACTGATTGTTCTGATAGAGTTTTGTAATTATTGGATAAATTTTATGCTACATATTCGTTTTCCGCGAAATTTTGAAAATCAGCATTGATCAAAACAGCGATGATTTTATGCTTGGAGACAACATGCTATAAAGTAGGAAGTAAACATATGTTGAAATTATGGATTATTTGAACGATATTTGAAGAAAATTTGCTAGGAGCAGAAGTAACAAAATAAGCTTTCATCCATTCGTCGGAACAAAGAGTCGAACGTGATGTCTCACATTACAAATGTTCTGTTTATCAGTTGTTCATTTACCTAATCCGATTGATTTCAAGATTTTTAGTTACTTTGCTACATGTAATATAAAAGGAGAGCTAAAATCCCCTCCAAATAATCCTTTCAAATCATCCTATAGTTTTTAAAATATGACTAATATGTGATAGATCTCTACAAAGTATTGCCTCTGTAAATGTTAAATCGATGTGAAATGTCAAACGTTGAAGAAATCCCAATGATACAATAAGATATCCAGAAAAAAGGTCATGGGATGAGTCAACAAGGTTAAATATGGAGATGTGGTATCTGGTCAAGCAATAAAAAAGAAAATTCCTTTTAAAGATGTTCATCATTATATTTCAAATTAATGCCAAATAAGAATAATTGTTTCACATGGAATAAATATATCGTAAGGTTCTGATTTGTTCCGAAAGGAAAAGGTAGTAAATTAATTAATTAGATGTCATCTGTCCTATGAGCATCCACAAAATTCTTTATACATACAAACTTTGTACTTTTGCACACTTTGTACTTCTTTGTACATGCAATTTCATTTCTTTTTTTTCTTAAACTAACAAAATACCTCACACGTAAATATTCGAAGAAGACTGCTTTTCCATTAACCCAACTCTGTTCATGCTTACAGCTTTAAAAATGCATTATGAATTACAGCGAATGTTTTTCTTTGTTCAATGATTCACCGCCGATTACAATCGAAATATTAATGATTTCATCGTCATTCTTTAGAGAACGACGGTGGTATCTTTGGCGCTTTCGATTTGCTACTTCTATCGATTATATTTTGCAAAAGGGAGGAACAAAGTTTGTTACGGTTGAAATCTATTCATGTTTATATTTATAAGCTGTTCAGTAATATTTAAGAATATTTGCATGAGATTAAGTCCTTTTCGGCATATTCTTATAAAATACTGCCGGAACATTTTCTTTCAAGTAATAATGATAATGTTGGACCATATCGATATTAAATTCCGGAAGTTTCAGTTTAAAAATATCTTTGAAATAACAGAAGATTCTGTAATAAGCGACTCGTAACTGCAAACAGTGCGGCAAATTACTTAAAATAAATCAAGCAGAATATATTTTGATGCCAAAACGGTTTAACAGAAATCATTTTCAGGAAGAACTTATATATGGTTATACATATATTTGTGCCACTGAAAAATGAATGATCCTGATGATATTGTTGCACTTTTACTTTAAAATAAATTTGCATAACAGTGACACTACCTCACTCTCTTCGAAAATCTCCAACTGAAATCAGAATCAAAAGTTCACTAACCTTAACTCTTTCTAAAATTATTAATACTAGCTCATCCCAGAAAATATTAACATACCGCTGTATGTTCAGTTTGCCATTAATACCTTGTCGGAAATATAGGTACCTTACAGTAATTGCAAAGAAAATCACTGATTTTACAAGTCTCAGTGGTTTAATGATATATTTAGATAAACTGACTAATTAAGCTGTCAATATTTGATAAATAAAGTAAATGGACAAATAAGGCCACCTTATATAAAGTAAATCAAAAAATATAGAAAGTATAGCAGAACCTTTATTTTGTGCGAAAATTCTTTTTCTGATTGCTTTCTAAAGAAGCAAAGATGTGTCATACCGTTTAATATCGTATTTTTTTGCAAGAAAATTGAAATAAATGGATAATGAAAGAGAGGAGAAAAACTTTAGTTCTGAAAAGAAAATCAACCAAAAACATTTCAATTCCCTATATCTCTTTCTTCTACACCAGGAAATTATCAAACAACCGGCAGCACTGTAGTGTTGTAAATCAGATACCAAAAGATAACCGTTGTGTCGAAAATTTGTCAGAAATTCAGTTTCTTCTAATTAACATAACTTATTGTTAACGTGGTGTGTATAATAGGGAGGGATAAAAGGTAAATTGAAATTTGGTGTATTGCCGTGATCCCATGAAAATAATTAAATGAAAATTATGATAATTAATAACCAAATTATTTATTACTTATTTTATTTTACTAATCGTTTAGCCAATTATGTTACAATTATGTTGTTTAAGACAGTTTAATGTTGACTCAATTTTTGACAGATATTGGTGATTCCTTAATTACACTCATTTAAGATTACTTGCAATAAAACTATTAGATTCTAAACTATTAGAAAATTCTCAAACTATCTGAGCATTGATATTAACAATTTTTAAAAACAATTATTGATACCAATGCTGAGATAATGCAAGAAGAAAGACTAATAAGATAAGTTTGCAAAAAATGACCATGTTGAGGCACACAATTCTCACTCCTAGAGATCGGATACTTTTTTCTCAGTGACAAATTCAGTGTCAAACTTTCGAAACATAATGTCATTGTATCAATGGTCTATCATTATCGTCATCAGCAATCACACACAACTGATACGTACCAATCCAAATTAAGTAGGCACTAATTGGAGCACTTTCATGAAGAACACATTTATCTTACTATACTGGTCTTCTATTTGCTGCGCATTTGTATCTAAATGTTTGTGTTCAGTTGTTAGGCCAATGGCATGAAGCAATGGATACTATTTATACTAAAGATGAGTGAGTAGATATGTAGATGTCACCAACAAACAGGTTCATCACTGTTTAAAAGAAATTTCAAATTAAGCACAATCTTACAAGATAACATCACGTTTGAGTGATTCAATTAGTCATTCTTGAGGAGTTATTAAAATAAGCCAACTATGACATCGATAGAAGCCACACAGGCAAAGTAGCCTGACGCTTTTTAATGGTTAATAAGTCTAGTCTTCGTCTCTTCCTCGAAGGCAAATAGTGAAGCATTTTTCTATCCAACGAGCAAATGATTGGATGAATGACAAACAACATGTATCCATTCCTGAATCGATAGGCCGGGCTCAACCATTTGCATGGGCCATGTCCTCATCTCACTTATCATCATTGTATATCTATATGCTATTGGTACTGCAATTACTATTCCATTTATTTCAGTGGATATAAAAAATTCGAAATGAAATTGATCTGGTAAGCGATTTTCCATAAATTGGATTATAACATTAAGATTGTTGCGAATATTCCAATTTTTATTTCTTATTTATGAATAACAAATAAATTTCAATTCTCTGAGAGAAAATCACAAGTTGAAAATGTATCGTAGTTATTTTTTCTAACAATATATTCTTCTTGTATCGATCTTTTCATCTTTTTTTGCGACCAATTTTTCCGGAAAGTTTGTTCACCTGATTAGCTTCTACTTCTATCCAACAATTCCATTAATCTCTCTACTTTCTATCAGAACTTTTAATATTCTTTCAATATGTCAACGAAGTTGAGGGACAAGTTAATCAATCATCATTTTGAAATCATTTCCAAATTTTGGTATTTTCTTACGTGTTAGCAGTGATGACATATCTTTAATACTTTACCTTAAAATCGTAACCATAAAAGAAGCTTACAATAATTCTAGACCATAAAAGATTGCTAATGAATCCTCAGTGAAATTTGTTTGAGATTTCAAGATTAGACTCCTTTTTTAAGACCGAGACTGCTAGTTTCAAATGAAGCTTGTTGATCAATGGGTAAATGACACAAATTTCTAATAATACACCTAATATCTGATCATTTTTCTTAATCAATAGATAAATAGTAGTCATCGCGAGTTTTCATATCAATCCTGTAAAGTTCAAAAAATATACAAAATAAAGGTTATCGTTTCGTATAGTTTGCAAAATTTCAAATAAGCCCTACTTCGCTGTTGACATCACCGCCTATCATCATCATTACATCAGCATCATGAATAACGCATTTACCAATGAATAATGCATTTCCCGAGCAATAAAAAGGAATAGAAGTGGTAAATGATAAATCTCGAAAACGCAAATACTCACACACACACACGCACACACACATACACACATACACACATACATACATACACACACACACACACACACACACACATTCAACAGTTTTAATATTATTCATATAATGATAGGCTCATAGAAATTGTCATTTTATGCTATCACTATCGAACAATAACATCATGTTTGTTTCTTTTCTACGATATTTATTTTGATCCATTTTGGGCTCTCTTGTCAACCCAATCATTTCGAGATTGTTTAGAGTTCCTCTTTCCCCTATTTTAACTTTTTAAATTCTTCCAATGATCAATGATTATTATATTTCCTCATATATATATATATATATATCCATCTA